CACTGTAGGGAAAAGTTTATTCTCTTTCCTAATACCTGCACACCCCTATTTCAACCTCTGCCAAGTTCTGTCTCATTTTGCCAGAACGCCTCACATATATGGTCGTCAGTTACTCGTGTCTATCAGCCGCTTTCATACCGGCACATTATTGCTAGCCGTAGCGATTCGGAGACAGTCTGAAAATCTGTCATTATTTATTAACGTAATTTCCTTGAATATTTACTGCACAATCCTTCTTCAGGCCAGGTTCAATGTATTCCTGATGTAGTGAATGCCCAATCTTTGAAATTAAGTTGTTAAACGTTAAAGGTCTAAAGTTAATTATTTTTTCTTCAATGGCCAGTAGCCATAGAGGGCGCCATAATGCTATCAGGTTTGTTCACAGACATATTAACACATAGACTGCCAGTCGTGCGCGTGAAATCGTGATTTGATAATTGGGCAAAATGTTTGTTGACAGCGCGCATAACTGCGATGCCACTCTATGCGCCAACGCGCTTAGTACTGTAACGTGCTTCGCCTAGTCGGTACTGTAACGTGCGTCGCCTAGTCGGTCCCTTGCCTCTCTGGCCTAGTCCCGATGGAGTTGAAGCACCTGCGGTTGAAGGCCACAGCACCAAGTGACGAACAGCACTCCCAAATCCGCTCCACCAGGGGAAAGCGCTAACTCAACTTGTGTTTGGGATTTAGGGGATTGGGTGGATTAACCTGTGGTTTTGGGTGGATTAGCCTGTGGTTTGGGAGGTTGACCGGTGGCTCTGGGTGGCTGACCGGTGGCTCAGGGTGGCTGACCAGTGGCTTAATTAAGTGGCTTAAGTGGCTCAAGTGGCTCAAGTGGTTCAAGTGGGGGGGGGGGAGAGACTTACACCCTAATTAGTGACAATAAGACAATAAAACAGAGACAGGAGACTTCTTTGACTTCTTTGGTCCCACCAGGCAATGAAGTGAGATTTATTATCTTGAACTATGCCTTTTATAGGTCAACATGGTCATATACATTCACATACAATAAATGCCCCTCATTACTAAAGTACACAGGGTGCCTCAACCAATGAAAAGGCAGTATTGCTTAGTAGATGACTTAAGCCACGCCCACTAACAGCACTGGCCAATTAAATGCTGATGTTCTAGTATGAGTGACTGGGCACTAAGGAAAAGTCACTATACAGTTCATGTTAATGTATAAAACGTATAGTTGATGATTCATCACATGACCTCCCCCCAGAGTTTTCAGTCCCTGAAACTGTTGAGTCTTAATTTATTCAAGTTTCCACACAACAAAACATTTGAAAACTTAAGATTTTGAATCAGAGCCACATCTTTCATTCAGTATTCTTATTTAAATTTTACAATCTTCGCAGCTGATAAAGTGGGTTTAATAAATCTCATAAGCAGCAATATTTGTGCACACAAAGCTAGTTTAACAATCATCTTAAAACAACTCTAAAATGAAATGATTAGTCCTTTTTATCAACACATGGCTTTATATGAAATAGATGACTTTATATAAAATAGATGGCTTTCTAAAAAATAGATGAGCAACACTTTCAAAATACCTCTATAAAAGTCTTCTTAGTACATGTACATGTATAACAAAATAAAGTGGTTCATATTAAACCAACTCTTTTAGAAATAACTTGGTCCTCAACTTTTAAGTTTCAAAATTAACTGTAACTTTTATAACAACTGAACATTTCAAACTTTAACCTTTACAACTCTGTAACTATTTGGAACTTTAACTTTAGAAGTAGAAATCTTGCTTTGCCTCTTTCTGGGAGTGCAATACTCCTCGGCGGAATACCCGGGTGATGGTCGTTACCTCAATGTGATCTGCCATCTCCCCAGCTGGGTCTTCACTTTCTGTGGAGGAGCTCACTTGGGGCACCATCTCGGTGTGAAGCTGCCAAAGCAGCTTCAATGACTTTCCCCCAGTCTTGGGGTGGCCAGTAGCAGTGGAGGTTGAGGGGGAACCACGCGGGGATGGGCCAGGGAGGAGTTGCAGCTCCGGCTCCGGTGGCAGGATGGATGGAGAATCGGGTACTCGAGGCTTGGCTGAGGTGGAGCAATCCTTCCCAACTTAGTGCAACTGGGACTCGGCATGGCGGTGCAAGCTGGAGTTCCTGGTGAACCGCTCCCCGCACGTGCTGCAAGCGAAGGGCAAGGCCTCCCTATGTCTCTCCTTTCATGTCGGACCAGGCTGGCTCGAGAGGTGAATTTCTTCCTGCAACCACCCACATGGCAAGGGAAGGAGGTGGTGGCTGGCGGGCGTGTCACGGGAATCTTGGCCTCAGGCTTCTGGGGATGGGCGCTTGGTGTTGAGCTACTCTTGTGATGATGACTGCGCGTTCTAGGGCGTTTGCTGGCCCCGTCATCCCCCGGTCGCCTCTCGTCACGCCGCTTGCCGGCCGATGGCTTGTCACCATGGTTGCCCCTAGGCATGGTGGACAGTGGTACTGTACTACTGTTGGTTGTGGAAACGGCGGTGGCTGTGGTGGCTGTGGTGGCTGCGGTGGCTGCGGTGGCTGTATACAGTGCGATGTGCGGTCGTAGTTGTGGACGGTTCGAGGTTCAAACTCGTAATGACGTACGTACGTGCGTCGCCCCGTGTGTACTGTGTATATGCCCGTATGTGTACGTTATACACATGTATGTAGTCGAGCGCCGAGTTGCGTGGTGCCCGCAGAACCTATTATTGAAAATAACTGGGGTTGCGGGATACCAGTCAACTTCCTTAACACTTAATCCCTGCGTGCAAGAAGTTATTCATTCTCAGAAGAACAACATTGGCAATGTCAACCCGTGACCAGATAATACTCTTCAAATTATATACACGTAGCATAAGATGGAGTATGCTCCCCTCTGCTGGATGAGTGCACATGATTCCTACCTTGACATCTTGACTGCATCCAGGAGAAGGCCATGGTAATAATTGGTGTTCTACCAGGTGATGAAGCTGTCACCGGCGTGTAGTCAGTGCCGTAGCCTGCATCTTCAAAATGCACTTGGATTCATGCCCGTCATTTAATTCTGAGAAGTCTTCTTCCTACACGTGCTGTCATTCCTAACAACCGTCACCAAGCACTTCGCTCCTCCACAGCTGTGCATCCTTCTTCCTTCAGCATCCCCTCCCTCCTGGCGTTAGAAGAGCCCAGTCCTTGCTGGAATATGACAGAAGCTTCCTATACCAGTTGCTGTAAACATCTGGAATAGGCTTCCCCCTGATGTCATCAAGCAGCCTTCAGAGGAGGGTGCTAACGTGTTTTAAGGAGGCTGTGTACCGTATTCTGATACATAGTCCCCGGCTTCATATATTTTAGTTCAGATTAGCCCAAGCAATTTTGTAGGCTTTTCTTTCCTTTAAAGTACTATTAATGCTGCTGTGTTACAACTGATAATGTAGTAACCAACTGATAATGTATCACTAACCGATAATGTAAGAGAAATTGACCGATAGTGTAGTAAATGTTACTACACTGGTCAATATTTGTTACATTATCGGCTAAGACCGATAATGTATCAACAATCGACTGATAGTGTAGTACATTTTTACTACACTATCGGTCAATTTCTGTTAAATTATCGGTTAGTGATACAGTATCGGTCAATTTGTGTGACATTATCGTTTGGTGATACATTATCCGTTGGTTACTACATTATCAGTTGTAACACTGCTGATTGTGCTCATTGCCTGTTGCTCCTTTCATGTGATTTTCGATTACCCACCAGCGATGTTAATCATGATTTACCGTAGCTGGCGGGATTGGGTTACGTATAAAAAAAGGTACACCCTAGTAAGTAGGCTTAATGTCCGTCCGCCGAGCTCATGAATAAAAGTTAATATACACAGAAATTATTCTATATCAGAGTGTTCTGAGAGCCATGGAATTGGGAATCGAAGACAATGTGGCACTGTACCACTGGCCTGGACTTGGGACTTCCAATTCTCAGCATTTTGATGCAATCAGGGCCCGAGAGTGGCGCTATTTACCCATGTTGTGGGAGGATCCTTTTGCAAAATGGCTACTTTTTAAGCACCATTGGTTTTAGAGGTGGTCTTCTTTGTATGCGAATTTCTCCAAGAAGTCAATGGTCAACCAACCAAAAGTTGAAGAAAAAAAATGATAGATTTTTTCTTAATTTCACTTATTTTATTCTGTTCAGCCTGAATACGTACCTGTGAGAATTCTGAGGATTTAAAGAAAAAGGAATTTTGAATAATGGCGATTTAACACTGGTGTCTACGGGTATTTGTTATACTTGGTGCACCCTATACCCCCGCGTTACGCATGCGCTACGCCGCGGCATTAATATTACAATGTATTATGCATGAGCGTGGTAATTTTTTTTATCACTGCTTGTTGAGCGGAGGGGCGTGTAGATGGACACTCTTTTTTGCTGTTATGTCCTAGATTTTTATGCTCGCCTAGTCTTGACCCAAGACGTCAGTGATCAAGAGCGATGGTGTTGCAATGTTGTGAAGGTGCGTGGCCATTTTAAGTAAATAGAACCGTCTGTATAAATTCGAAGCAAAAAGCAGTTTCTATCTGCGGCAGCAGTCAAGCCCTCTCGCCGGGGCATTACCGCGTTGCATAATTAGCGATGGTGCGAACCATTTCTCGATCGCTGATTGGTTCCCTAGGAAAACGATGATGCTTGATCACCACACGTATAGCCTGCGTATGTTTGCAACCGTTGGGCGAGCCATTGAACCATTTTTCGATCGCTGATTGGTTCCCTAGGAAAGCCTAGGGAGAAAATAAAGAAAAAGTTAAACCGCCGATACGAAATGGCCAAGACGTTAGTGCGAGTAGGCGCTGGTCTAATTGTTGTACCATTAGAGGGCACACTATGCACGATCCACCATCGATCACTAGCGTCCTGGGCCAAGACTAATGCTTACCCAGCTTGATTAATTTGCCGCCGCGAGAGCGTTTGCGACGGCCATAGTTTCAATATCACCCAGGTCCTTCGATTCCTAACGGAGAGATCACACCCGGTGGTAGTTGACACTTGTAGGAGCAACTGACGGTTGTCTTTCGTCAAGCTCACGGTATTCCGTGAGAAGATGGCACCGCTGATTCTGTGGTCATTTCTTGCCTTTGGACTCGGGGGTAAGTTTTTTTTTGTCTTTCGAGATCAATCTAACAATATCCGTCAAATCTACAGCATGTGCAAACTTTTCCAGTGAAATAAACTGAAATAGCCAGGATGTCAAAAATCTAGGAGCTTGAGTGCTAAATGTGTGTGTGTGTGTGTGGGGGGGGGGGGGGCAACCTCGTCCCCAGGGTGTCGAGCAGTACGCGCCCACCACTACCTGCGTTTTCATCCTGGTGTTGGATCATTTACATGTGCAAGATGTATGAACACGTTTGCAAATGAGGAATAGTCTGGTGCCCGCACGTGCGGTACATTGGCGTTTGTTATATGCGGTGTCTGGGGTAAAAACAGCATCGATTCGTCGCCGTGAGTTAAAAGTGTTAAATGTCACAACTTTGAAATGTAACCAAAATTCGTTTGGAGTATAGTGTTGCAGAATGGGCTAATCATGAAAGCCTGGAAACTTCTGTTTTATCTAATACAAACAGAGTCTCAGAAGTTACAATGGTTTCGAAAAAAAAACTTACAAAAATGTAGTCTTACAAAAACCTTTGTTCATTGTATCACTAATACGGTCATTAGGACTAATAAGGGGCTTCAAAACCCGTTAGGTGTCATAATAATGTCAAAGGGATAATCTTACTCTTTAGAGTGTCGGTATGGCTTCAAAGAGATCGTAGTCGCAGTGTCTGTTAATATCCTTTATACCCTCTCTATGAGTTACATGCAAGTATCGCGTACATGTTGGGCCTAAAAAAATACAAGGGGGAGAGGCATGTCATCCCAGGATCACTGGCAAAGCGCTGCCTTGAGCTAGGTATATGGACTCTGATGAGCTTTGAAATCATCACGTGTGTGAAACATTTCTTATAAAACGGTGGTCGGATTTGATGAATCTAAAGCACTCAGCCAATCCCCCGCAGCCACTGACTTATTTTGTCTAATTTAAACGCTGAAAAGCTTGAAACAAGTGATATTTAAACGCGCAAATTTAATTGCAAAGGTTGTTTTGCTAGTTCAATGAGATGCATATGCGTCTTTTAATCAGACTGGCTTGGTGTCGTACCGGGAAGAACCAGGTGCAGGTGTAAGAAAGACGAACAAACCATGCTTTTCGGAACATCGAGTTTACCTATTTTTCTTCTCAGAACAACACGTGCATACGAATGCCGAGCGAGAAATAGGCTGATTCTCCACCTGTACCCATCCATCCAATCTAATTTAGACTTGGTTGTATTACTTTGATGTTTTTACGCAAGCGTGCATGAAAGTAAAATAGCCATTTTCTGTCATCTCAAGTAGCAGTGCTGCCTGTATTTTTGTTAATGCCAGGAAAAAATATCGACTGCCATGGCAACGTTTAGGTCAATTTAAAAATTGTGTTTTAATTTCCGGTGGGAGGCTGGTGGGAGCGTTGGGGAACAAGTGTATCATTGACATCCTTTGGATTCAAACCAAGGCAGCTCAATTTGAATAAGTTTCTGGGCTCAGAAAATTTCGTCCTTTATTGTAGATCTTTTGATGTGAAATCAGGCGTCGTAGAGTGCCGCGCTCCATTTAGCAGCACTGACTTTCAATCGATACCCTTTTGTCTAGGCAACCGCTTGGGCCAATAGTTCTTAATTGCTTTTTTCTAGAAATACAAATTTTATTCATTAACATGAGACCCCCCCCCCAAAAAAAAAAAACCCGACCGCTACGCTTTATAGGAAAATAATAATTACTTATTATTACTATTATTGAACTATTTTTTGCAATATGAAAATTATATTTTCGTATAGGGAGACTGTCCTCTCCATCACAAAAGATAATATAGGGACCAGGAACCAGTCTAGTTTATGTGTAACTTTTGAGCAGATTCTCTGATTAATTAGGTAAGACAACCGCATCTTGACCTCTAGATTTTGACCAATCATCTGGCGCTTTCTATATTGGGTCTTCGGTCATTCAACGTTGTTGCTTCATAGTCATGGATAAAAAATTTTAGCTCTAGACACACCAACGGCTGTGGTCACGCGCTCTGTATTATGTTACGCAATACGCGCCCGGCTGTTGTATTACAAAACACTACTTTCGAATTGACCAATCAAAGATTTAGTCCTGATTTGGGAATGAAATGATGTCACGATGTAGTAAAGTCGACTCCGATTGGCTGAGGCGCCAGATCGCATAAATCTGCATGCTTTGACGTATCAGACATCATACAGGAGACCTGGCTCAGTGGATAACGGATGATACTCAGACTAGAACCAGTCTACTCGTCTGGAGGATTTTATTTTGTGCCAAGGCAAAGTAAAATAAAGGCCTCTTCGTGAGATGGTTGCATACTCCCACAGTTTTCGTTTGGTTCCATTTTGACCTTCAAAACGACAATTTATTTAGTTTCGTAGGAAAACAGTCGAGTTTGTAAAAGAGGACGGGCAGGTTGTCTTTAAAAGGACTCATCGTTCTGAAATCGCCGAAAACTCTGTTACATTGTTTACTTATCTATTTTAAAGTCTGATAGACAGAAAATTAACCTTATCTATCACTGGTCATAAAAACAGAAGCTAAGTTCCATAAAAAAAAACCGGTTTTATAGCCAAAATGGACTCTTCTCAAGGCGGACGCCTATTTTTGGCAGTTTCATATCAGAGGCCTGCTGGGAATCAATCCATATGACGCCATGTAATTTTAGCTACCCGGCCCTCAAAGTCCACCATTCACCCCCTGGTATCCCTCAGGCCCTAAACAGTCAATAAAACCAGACACTAACCTCCTCAATGCCATTTGACAGTTCCATTTTGGTCACAGGGGTGATCGATGTAATCCCTATGTGAACAATGCATTTGTACACAAGCAAATGCGCACAAGCACAATAGGTTTTCCCGCCAATTTCCAACCCCTCCAGTAGGATCACAAGACCGACACCCCCTCTGGTGGATGTACCATGGTCCATACTAGGATCTAGTGATAGATGACCTGGGCATGGCTACCACGTGGCTGGGACAATAAAAAACAAAGAAATGTGGAAGTGATTTTATTCACACTGACTCCCGCTAGAATAAATATGTGTTTGGCTGGTTTTAAACAAGATGTTTAAGACCAGTGTTGGAGTCTGGTCTCTCCAGACTCAAGTACCAACAAACAACATATTTATTCCTAATCATAAATACATGTTTGGTAAAAAAAAGTAGAATCGACAATTGTAAAATGTTATATTAGATTTTGCCCATTACCGACGTATTTTATAAACACTATTTAAAGACAGAGGGCTTGCGAGAGAAAAAAAGAAGCTTACACTTGGGTAGTACTCGTACCCACGACCTCCTGCTCACTAGTGCAAATGTCTTACCACTCGACCACCGAGGTCGCCGGGCTCGGCTGGCTGGTTTGGTGTCGGATCTAGCAGCGGGTACCGCAACCAGATTTTTTTCTATAGCATTAGCGTCTAAATTCTGCCAACATTAACACAGTTGCTCGAACTCTGTTTTAATTATTTCAATGTGATTGTAGATAGTCTCTGATTTTGAACAATTTCACTCTAATTTAGTGTACATGGGAGTTGTTGAGAGTCAGCTGAGGACTTGGTACTTCGGTCCGCCACCGAAGCCGCTTCCTGGTGAACATTGGATGCAAGCAGCCGCTCGAGAAATACGTAAACGATGCCCAGGGACACGAAGCTCGACTGGTAAGGAGAACTTAGTGATCAAAGCTTCATAACGCATTGTTGAGATGTTCGATGTAAATACAGTATATAACCACAAGGTTTAATCAATTTCGTTGTATAATCAGTGAAATCGCTTTAAAAATCATTTCTAAAAGTCATACTTTTCAATATTTCCAACTTATTTCAAATGAATATGAAATCATTTCTAAGATTTCAATTTTTATCCAAGACAGATAAAATCATCTTCTTAGTATAATTATTGTGAAAAATTAAAAAATATAAAAACAAAAATTGTCATCTTCGTGAATAGCTCTAAAAGATGCTTAACTTCTTCCCCTAGACAATGAAAGTCTAAGCAACCCCCTTTCCCTAAAAAAAAAAATTAAAAGGACAAAGAAAGTTTTGTTGTGCTCACATTTCTATGGACGAGGATGCAACATTGCGCGAAAAGTTGGTATTTCAACCTCTTTCCCATATCAATTGAATTATCTAATTATCGTACATTTCTGTGAGGAGTTTCCGAAACCTCGGTTTCGTGTTTGACTTTGGCCTCGAGACAGTTTTCCCGGCCTGGGGGCAACCGGGCAATTACATCACGATTAATGTTTTGCCTAAGTGAACATCAAACCCTTTATGTGAGACCTTTCGGAATCTCTTCTCCATGATTCAGAAGTCAGCGATGAAGCCGAAGCCACACTTGCAGGCGAGATTTCGACAACACCCTCAGGTCCCCGATATGCTGGTTGCAGCGAGAGTTTGGACAGCGGGACAGGAGGAACGGGTGTGGGTGTCGTCACTATCTACCCATCGCAATATCCAAACGGCACGACTGTTTACTGCAGACTAGATTGGATCGTAAGTTCCCAGTGTTATCCCTAGATGCAGTTTATGGCATGAAATCAGCAGTCAGGCACCTATTTCCATGACCTGAGAATCGGGGTTTTGTCAACACCTAATGGGAACTTTTCGAGTTATAACCTCATCTTATACCTGCATGGGCTTTCAGCCGCATTAAAAAAACACATGTAGTATTAAATCAGGGTCAACCCGATAGTCCGAACACACATATTCCCATACCACCTAGTGGGTTCATTAGTTCGAAAATGAAATAAGGTTCGTTTTTCCGAGCATTTGTTTCGATAGTCCGAAGGTTCGATTGCGAGGGTTCATTCGTCGGAAGGTCCACAATTCCGAAATAAAAAACAAGGTTCAATAGTCCGAAGGTTCATTAATCCGAAAGCACACAAGGTTCAACATTCCGAATTGACTATTAATATTCAATGCTGTCAATTTGGAATGTGGCACCGGATTGTTGATTCGGACTATCGAACTGCATCGCCCATTCGGCCTATCACACCTACACATTATTGAACCTTACTGTATTTTTTTGACTAAAGACCACTTCGGACTATTGAACCTTTTGAACAAACGAACCTTAGGACTATCGAACCTTCGGACTAATGAACCTTCGGACTACCGAACTTTCGGACTGATGGACCTTCGGATTATCGAACGTACCGACTATCGAGCGGTCACTATTAATATACACAAGGGCGGATCCAGAACACAATTTTTTTGGGGGGGCCAAAAAAAATTTGGTCCCCCCAAAAAGTGTGTCGAAAAAATTACGGCGTGGGGTTTGGGGCCCGTTTAAGGGCCCCGAATTTTTTTTTGGATTCTACATGCTCTGTGGTGCGATCTGAGGCAATTTCTGACCATTTTAACCAATGTTTTTTGAGGAAAAGATGGTGGTGTACTCATTGCCTGCCTTTATTGCGATGTCACCTAAAAAAAAAAAATTGGTTTCGTTTTTTTTTTGGGGGGGGGGCGGCCATGGCTCCCTTTGGCCCCCCCTGGATCCGCCCTTGAATATACACCACGTGGAATGAGTATTAAACCACTATTCAAAAATCAATGCCTGTGTTGAACAGTCACGGCAGCTTTGGCAAGTGATAAAAGTTGTTGCTTCGTTACCTGCAACTCTTCATTCATTGTTGACCTGTTTCAGTTGATTCAGAGGCGCTACGACGGGTCGGTGAATTTCACCCGTAGCTGGGCCGAGTACCGAGACGGCTTCGGTGATCTGACGGGGGAGTTCTGGCTGGGCAACGAGATAGTCCGCCAGCTGACCTCGGAAGGCACTTGGGAACTGCAGTTGGTTGTGAAAGATGCAAGCCGTGGTATATCCTTTATACCTCTTGGGGAGTTCCAGATCGTAGGTGACAACTACGCACTCGGATTGAAAGGTTGGTCACCATCAGGTATCAACTGATTTATTTGTCTAATGCGCTAGTTTCTTATTTCAAAAAGAGTGAAATTTCTTGAACTTGAAATAGGGACTAGAGATTTAAGTATGAAATCCATTCAATCGAGTCGATTGCGTTTTCATCCGAGTTTCCACCGGATTATATTTTCTTCAGACTATTGACTTGAAAATTAAAGTGATTTTCGACCCACATCGTCTAGTCTAGTCTCACTCTTTTGAATTCAGAGAGTATAGGTCCATTGTTAAAACAATTCATGGAAGCACCTACAAATATAATTAAAATTGTGAATGGACGCCGTTAATTACCACGACAGAAGACGTAGTCATGTAAAGTTTCACCTTTTTGAATACAGAAATGAGAGTATCACTGATTTTAGGATGCATGTATCCCTATTGTGCTTGTAAAATAAAAACGGGATCTTAAGGGGTTGAAACGAGATGTATATTTATAAGAGAGCATATTAAACTTAAGTGTACGGTACATGTTTCTATGGGGTCATGTACATGTATACATGCATACAAAAGTCATGTATGGTGGTCCGATGTCTTGTATCAACGCCTCCCCCCTGTCCCCCGTCTCCCATCAGGGCCTGAGTTCGAGTCCAGAAAACTTGTGAGTTTTCTTCTTACATGCTCAGTGAAATAGCACATCGCTTTTCGGTTATGATCTCAAGACTTGGTATTTTTTTATCACCCGTTTGCTAGATATCTCTTTCGCTAACGTTCAAGTAGGCCAGTGGTTCTCAACCTACGATCGCGACAATGACGCCGATGGCAACGCCAATTGTGCCGCTCAGCTGAAGGGAGGCTGGTGGTTCACGACTTGTACTGGAGGAGTCGGGAATGTGGATCTCGTGCCGATTAACCTGAATGGGGAGTATTCCTATCCCGTCACCTACACGGGGCAAGATTACCGCGGTGTGAGGTGGGCTGGCCTGGCTAATGGCCAAATAATATCTTGCGCACTTGAGATTCGACCTACGCACTGAATTAGTTTCCCTGGCCTAACGCTGTATTTCGGTTTGGTAAGCTTCAACAGGTTTAAAAGTGAAAAGATTTAAAAGAGAAAACACTGAATGTGTCCAATGTTAATAAAGACTTTTTATTACACTGTTGTATCAGTGAAAATGATTGACTATAAGATGGGGTAAAACAATCACATTTCGGAAGCCAATTTGAGCCATCTTTAGTTTGACACATATCACCTGTAATACCAAAGTCGAGAGATTGGTGTTTATAAAATAAAACAAAGTAATGGTGGCGTGATGTTCCGATCTTAACAAGATCTTCTTTAGAGGCATTTTTGCTGATATGTTATTAAGTGATCGATTTTACATATTCAAATTATTGATTTTTTTTTGTAAAGCTTTTTTGGAATAATAGGTAGCCCAGATAACAAAGTGTGCTCTTTTTAACAACTTTATTTACGACCCGAAATTTAGAATGGTATTGTATTGCGAAAGATCTAGGAAGAAACTATTTCAAGAGAAACTGTCAAAGGCCACTAAAATAGTGAGAGCGATTAGGCCAAAAAAGGCTCGGTTTCTGGTATGCGCGTGCGTCGCCGTAGCCATGCGCGTCGGCAAAATGGAAAAGTTTTTTTTTTTCAATGAAAGATGATTTCTCAAAACCGCCAAACTCACTGGTTTGACTGGAATCCTGCTGCTGCACAATTTTAACGTGTTTTAGATGGGGTTATGATCGAGAATAATCCTTATGTGGCCTCTCTGATCTCCCATAATAATTGCACTAAGTTTAGTCGGGCACCATTTGCAGTCATCAGCCGCCATTTGACGCAAAAAAAAACAGGTAAAAAAAAAGCCGCGTCGCCAAACCACTTTTTGGGCAAGCTCCATACCAGAAACCGGAGACTTTTTTTTGGCCTTAAGAGTGGGTAAAATCTGATTTAATTTAAGAATTTAAACAATACAAATAATTGATAGAACTTTTTTGTAAGGCAGGGGTGTTCCCTGAAAGTAAACAATATATGAATTACTTATGAAATTCCTTGTAGAAATTCCTTTTAGAAATGCTAATAACGATCTATTGCAATGTGTGTGGTCAGGGTGGTTTTTAGCTCACGCCATATCAAGAGTGTCGCTCTTTGTGTATGTAAGATCCAAGTGTTTGTGAAATAAAATTGTATTCCTGTTTAGCGAAATAAATCATAGATTTCCTTTCATCCTTTTATTGAAATATCTTTATATATTAACAATAACAATATTATATCTTGATGGGAATCCTGCACGAACGGTAGATGGCGCTGATGTTTGTCCATTTTGAGAGCCAAGTGGACGGGAGAGATCGAGTGCTTGTGGGCGGGCCGTCACCGGGCTTTCGAGAAGTTTTTGTATTGTTTAGGCAAATTAGGACCGAGTTGTGGGGACTTTCTGCTGTCCCCACAGCGTCTTCGGTCCCCACAGTACCATGGGACAACTCGTATGTAGTCCCCACAACTACGGAACAAGTGTGTTTGAGTTTGTTTCTGCATTCAATAGGGGATGTTGACCAATAGAGGGCAATCGGGTCCCCAATTCCCGAGAGGATTCATGTACAAAACATATGGGAGGTCTTCTTAAAAAGTTAGTACAAACAAAAGAGGGACAATTAGGGGTCCCCGATTAGGCGAAGTAAAACATGTTTCTCCTCCCCGCCCGCTTCCTTTTTGGAGGCCGCCTGGATTTTTTCATTATTTTTTTTTTTTGAAAAATGCAGTAAAAAGACACCGAAAAAGTCCACAAATTCATCGAATGCATCTAAAACTGTTCATTGTAGACCAATACAACTCTAAATGACACTGTAAATATGTTCAGTTCTCTTGTCCAACTTGTCTTTCATTTTTAAAAGTGTCTTTGAACAGTGGAAACACCAACGGTTGCAGGACATTTTAAAATGGCGGCCATCTTGAAAAAAATAAAATAATAAAAAATAAAAAGCCCCTCTTCCTCCTTTTCCAAAAACCTGGACGAGAGTTATGTTTTTTTTTTAATTCGGCCTTACAGGCAAATACACACCTGTCTGTGCTAGTGTGTGCTCGCACACACATAATTTATACACGACTGTATATTTTTTTTCAGAATGAGCACAAAGCCATTGTTCTTTTTAATCCCTTTGTTACCCCTGAGGGGGCTTTTGTGCAAGGAGTCTATACGATAGGCCAACTTAATGTGTATCCCTTCTCTTTCACAGCATGTTCATAGACCTTCAAAGACGGGAATCACGTACGTCCAGGTGTTTAAGCTATGTTCTCACCTGGATAATAATAAAAAAATTATATGATTGAATGATTATTATCTTTAGTAATTGAAAAATTGTAATACAACGGTTGACAAAAATATGATTTGTGTCATTAGCTACAATGTCGGTTTTTTTTCTAGATTGGGCAAAGTACATTTGCCCCCGAAACTCCTGTACTTTTCCCAGCATATTCTCGATTTATCATTTGTTGAGGGTGTGCAGCGACATATGCCCCCAACCCATTAAATTAACAGCAATATGACTTAGCTTCTCTTTTCCTTTCTCTTTTTCTCCATTTTTGCTTTTTTGGGGTTGGGTGGGTGGGTGGGGCAAGCGCCTCTCTTCTCCCCCCCCTCCCCCTCGCTACGCCCATGTATCCCACACTGATTACAATGATGATCTTGGAACTTTCAGAGTGCAGATAGAACGGATGATTGCATGGTACGAAATAAGTCTCCGAGACGTTCATTTCGTATGGGGACATGTCTATAGACTTTTGACAGAGACAAATAGGAATGCCGTGGTTGTTCACAGTATTTTTGAGAAGATTACACTAAATTAAACAAATTGGTAGGAAAATGAATGTGCCGGAAAAAACGGATGTTTTTAATTGTGCCTGGAAAGCAAGACTGGAACTACGACTATAACCACAGCGTTATGTGAGGTAAGCCGGGTCCGAATGACTTGGCTACGGCTGGCTTTCACATACACTACATGTTACTGCCGGTCGTAGACAAGTTATTCCGTAGCCCTTCTTGGAGCTGTGGAAAAGGATAAACATGCCTGCTGCCACCTATCGACTGAAAAGCAGCCAATGAATGATGAAGAGTAATAATCGTTTGCAGTGCAATATGAAACCTTTATATCGGAGACGTGTTTAGATACTGCAGCTTTTCTGTTACATTATTATAAACAAAAATACGGCTTTGTTATTTTGTCAATTTTAGTGGACTAGTCTTGTAGTGCGCGCTTTTCGGTCACGTGATGTGTCACTTGATGCGTATTATAAATATCTACTGTTAGACTAGCAGTTACCGACAAAAGGAACACTCTAGGAATCTTTGTAACACAGCGTTGTTGCGTCAGCACATTGTCTCGTAGTATTTCCGATGTTGTCAAACATCCGTATATACTTCTAAACCTGCTACGTCATCAACAGTCAAGATCAACAAATCAGTTCCAAAATTGGATTCCAAGAACCGAGAATCAGCCAGCAGCTACCGGGCCGTCACGATGAATCTACCCGTGGCTCTCGGCACACTTGCGACCGTCTTTCTCGGTAAGTTGACGATTTTTTTCGGAATTTATTAATGTACGTTATTTAACAAACTTCCCACACTGGATATATTTTTTCTTACCTACTTTTTTGTAATCCTTAAGGTGTCTAGTGTACAAATTTTGATGTTTCCAACACGTTTGGATGTTGTTAACACGTTTTCCTGAAATTTTGGTCTGAGGAATCAACTGCAAGCATTTTTTGTTCATAATTTGGTGGCCATCTTGGTGGCCATCTTGGTGGCCATATTGGCGGCCATATAGGATTTAGACGAAAATCTGTTTTTTGACTTAACTTTTGAACTAGGCATCATACCAGTAAAAAGACGAGTGAACATGGCGAATCGATATATTGTAATTATTTAATGATAGAAACAAGTTAAATATATTTGTTTGGAATCTTGCAAAACAATAATCTACATGAATTCCAAACGCTAATATTCCATGAGCTGCTCCTTCCCCTTTGAAGTATCCCATTGTATATCATAGCGTCTCACCATTAGCCTCCCTAAACTAAATCCTACTGTCTGACTTCTCGTGCCAATCCTATTTTGTGCTGAATGGCAGAGGGTGTCGGAGTGTCCCTCGTACTATAACAAAGCTGCTCCGGGACGGTGGAGCTCGTCAGGCCCAGATTAAAGGGAATATACATCATTTGCTTTTGCTGTAATTTTCAGAAATGGATGGAATTGGGGGGTTGGAAATATAAAGCAAATATAGTTACACTGACTTTTTTGAGGTTTTGGGTTCGAAAATGCTATAAAAACCAAGAAAAACGATCATTTTCCTGTAGTCTGGTTCCCTGACTCCATATAAGAAGAAACAAAGCAGTTTACATACATTGGGGAATTGTAAGGTCAGGGAACCAGTCTAGCTGGCTCGTACCCGTTCATAGGTTTGTAATCGATTGCAAACAAGTGCAATGGTCAATTGGGTCCAGTATTTGAAAAAAAAGCCAGTTGTTTCCAACGCTGATCGGCCGATCAGCGTTGGAAATTGATACAAAAATACCACTTTTCTTGAAAATGACAGTATACCAGGTGCCATAATTTTACAGGATGCTTTAGACTGTCATTTACCAACATCCTATTAAGGTATTTCGCAAAAACTTGGTAGTTTTATTTTTCGATGTTTGCAAATGTTGTATATTCCCTTTAAGTCGAAGCTCGAGTGAAAACCCGATCTTTATGATTGAAGAAATTTCACTCTAAAACGTCTAGTCCCTAGTTTCCGACTGTGGAGTTAATCTTCACTCGAATGGAGTGAATTTTCACTCTTTGGAATTTAGAGAGAAGCGCAGAAACGTGTGAGTAGGGCTGAAAATGCTAGAAATGACTTCCTGACTGACAAGGGAGCCAGATAGTCCCTGAGATAAGGCCATTTAATAGCAAAATTTTCTGATTAATCTTAATATTATTTTCTGTTATAGGATACCTTGGGACATCCGAAAATGGTGCTCTTAATATGCACAGCCGGT